GAGAGCGCTTTAGATGCGTTTAGGATATTATTTGCTTTCAAAATATATTTCTTAGTTACCGGGCGAGCGAGAGCAAAATCTTAGGACTAGGAAGTATGGCTTTAGTTAATAACGCGGGAGCGTGAGACAGAGTCTTTAAGTTAGTATATTCTACGGAGCTAAGTTATAGTCGTTATTAGTACCCATTTTCTATAAGTCCTTCAGGAAGGCGGAAATCATATCTCGGCCTCGTTTCAGTATTATTTTCAAACCTTTAGCAATTAGTACCCTTATTCCCCTTAATCAATTATTCATTAGCCTTAGATTTACAAAGTGACGATAGATTACGGTAGGTTGACATTGGTCTCAGTGGTTCGAAAATCTTTTATATCACTTCGACATTTCCGTGCACTTGCGGACGCATCAAGTTTTTGGCGCCGTTGCGGGGACCAACAGTTAATATTGTTATTCCGTTGTTGCACCGTATGAACTAAGGCACTATTGTCCCAATTACTATGTATCACCCAATTTTTTTCTACAACTCCCACTCTGAGTATTTCGAGGAATCACAAGAATCCCATAAATCCGACCTCGAAATACTATTGGAGAATTTCAATGCGTCACAAACTCATTCTCACCCGAATTACCTTTCCAACTACCAATCCCAACATTTTGAGGAATCGCAAGAATATTATAATTCCAACCAAACTTATCCTCAACCAAATTTCCCCTACAATCACTACACCCAATATTTTGAGGAGACGCAAGAATCCTGTAAATGAGACCTCAAAATATTAATGGAAAATTTTACTGAAATATCTATGATTATAGAGAGCTTTGTGGAAACAAAAAATACGACTCTAACTCATTTTGAAGAATCAGAAGAATCACATGATTTCAACGTCGAAACATCGATGGAGGATTCCGATGCGACGCTAATTCACTCTAGGTTAGAATCTATGATGGAGCACTTTATAGAGACACAAACTGACCAGAATGAAGACTTTAGCAAACAAAGTCTTCAAAACAATGAAACCCTTAGGCAACTGACCACTGTGGTTGAGTCGCTCGCGACTCACAACATAGTCTTAGAGACTCAAATCTCCTAACTTGAACAAAACCCTCTAGGACCGCTCCCTGAGGAGAAAATGTATGTTGTAACAACCAGTAGGGAAAAACAAATTGAATATCCTTAGGAGAGTGATAATGTGGTTGAGGAGAGTTCCGACGAGAAAAGAGTAAAGATTCAGAAAAATCCTCCAACACCATATGAAAGGGAGGTTTTAAAAGAGGTAGAAAAGGAAGCACCTATTGTTTTTCCTCATCCCTATACCCCACCGTTTCCTTTCTCGAAAAGTTTTAAGGAAGCTCAGGTAGACTCCCAATTTAAAACATATGTGGAGGTATTGGAAAATATCCACACCAATGCACCCTTGTTTGAAGTCTTGCATAAAAAGAGAAAATTAGAGGACTGTGAAACTAGGGATATAATTACTATTAAGAGGGTAAGGTTAACCTTTCAGGCGGTGGATGAAATCACTAAGCCCAAACGTGAAAATATGATACTTAGGATAGATCCAGAACCACCACCACAAGTTCAAAAGAATGAACTACCCCACACAAGAAAGAAAAGAAAAGGTTAGGGATATGTGAGATGGCTTGATAAGTGGCCATGGAAAATGACGATTACTAAAAGTTTAACCGAGGAGTCATTCTCGAGAGAACCACCACGAGTGCTTGCACTCCTAAGCTGTCGAGCTATCAACGTTAAACAAAGCGCTGCGTGTGAGGCAACCCATGAGCTTTTAATTTAATGTTTTGTTTTTATTGTCTGAATTTGCAGAAAATAAAGATATGGATTGCTCCTCACATCTCGGCCATCTCTAGGTGGAAAATTAATAGATGATCATCTCGAAGATGAGTCGGTGTCCACGCGCATTCTAACGAATGTCGCTGCTGGTGGTGACACTATTGATGAGTACGATAGGAGAAGGTACTTCCTCGGGATGCATAGTGGATTTGGTCGTGATAGCCCATCAATAGCATTCATACAGGTTTCGTCTTTCCTATTTCCACCTTTTATCAAACTATTGAGGACAATGTTTGGTTTAAGTGTGAGGGAGGAACTCTATCGCTTTCTATTTATCTCTTTTTAGTTTGATTGATCGTTTTCTAAGTTTACTTCATGTTTTTAGAATTTTACTTGTTTTCGGTATTTGGTCGAGTCATAGCATGTGTTGTCAAGTCTGTATGCCTCTTTTCTGTTATTATAGAATTTCCCCGTATTTTTAAAATTTTAGCCTCCAACAAAAATTTTCTTTTTGATTCATGGCACAATACTCTGAAAGTTTATAGGTTGTCTAAGCTTTGTTAGAGAGACTTGGGAAAGTTTCAATAAAATCGATACCGTTATGACACCCTAAACCCATCATTATGTGATATCAATCTGGGTATCCATTATGTCAAGACCTTAGGCTCAAGTTTTCAAAGTAACTCTTAAGTAGTTTATATTAGCAGTCAGCACCATCTTAAACACAAACTACGTAGGGAGTCGATAAATATAAGTGAATGATCATGTTTTTAATAAATAAATGATTTAATTGAAAAATAACCTTCTAAGTTAGGTGACCCTCACCCGGTCATTTAGCCCAACGGTTGTTAAGCCTGTAAGGATTTAATAATAAGCACCCATTATTGGTTGGTCCAGAAGTCATTAGTACTGGACTTGGTAGGGCGACCTACGGTTTGATTACCCACAACCGCAGTCTGGAAAAATGGGTTGCACCACTTAAATACCAGAACCCCGTGCTAAAGAAAAGAAAAGGATCATAGTCGCTAACCGATTTCGCCTACTATGTGTGTGTACAGATAACAAGCTTAATGTGATTGCGCTTGAATGAATATAGTGAAATAAAAATGAGAGATATAGGTTGAGTTATAATGGTATGATTCGAATTGGTTTGCATAAAGTGGGTGTCTTTGTACATTGTGTCGTTACGGTATCCTTGGTATTGAATACTTAGTACCTATCAAACTAACATTAGCCTAGCAGCCACGTATGATTAGGAGTCGTGTTGTGCCCTTGTTTCAAAGCTCTCTTATTATTTCTTTTACCGTGTTGGTCGATTGCTTTAGGACAAGAAATGGTTTAAGTGTGGGGGTATTTGATTACACGAAAATGTATAGTATATTTGGCTTGATTAACATAAATTATGTCTCTATTTTAATTAATTAAATTACTATTTATTCGTATTATGCTGATATTGTCTACGTTTTCAGGAATTTGATGTTTGCAAGGCATGTGTGAAGAAAGTCGATAAAAGTCAAGCTAATGAAGAGCAATTATGCAATTGAGGGGTGTGTGATAGAATATGGTGCACTAAAAGCAAAAAGCCAAAGAAAAGAAGCACTGGCCCAATCCACTAAGGGAGTGTAACGACCGTTACGCATTGGCCTAAGGGAGTGTAACGACCGTTACACCCTGCCACACAAGCCTTTCCTCAAAAGCAGGAGTGTAATGACCGTTACACCCTGCCACTCAACTCCCGCGCGTCTCCTAGGCTATAAATTGGGCCCTCTCTCGTCCATTTTAAGAGATATATTTTATTTTTTGTTCATAGCTTTTTCTTAGAATGTGAAAGTAATAGTTCTCCACATCGGGGGACTATTACCAAATTAGTTTTAGGATTTATTTCTACTGTTTAATTTATGTATCAGATCTATGTTTGTCGGCTATTTGAATTTAAGATTTCTTTGTTTCCATTTTTTGCATTTACAGATACTTATGACGTCACACGCCTTATCTTTAGAGTCAAAATTTATTCAGCAAAAGGTACACACTAGACAGAGACCGTTATAGTATTAAATTGTTCTCTAAGATATCATATAATATTATCATCAAAATTTAAGGTCATATGCATAACCAAATCTTATTCTTACATAACTATGAGAAAAAACTCCTTAATTAAGGGAGGTGAAAGAGACCGGGTATAATGTGTCTTCCCAACTTGAGTATTAATTAACAAACATGGTAATGATGCAAAAGGATTTGAGGGTAAGTAAAGCATATGTGTTTCTACCGCATGCTTGTAGCTAATGAAGATTGGTAAAACTTATACGTGTTCATTGATAAAATTAAATACATTATTTTCTACTTGATCAAGGATAAACTACATGATTTTATTTTTATTTTTATTTTTATATATACTATTTGCAAGAGTCAATAGAGTGTTTTGTTTGAAACTCAAGACTCCTCTAGAATATAAGATATACATATTTTTGTTTGGAAAACATAGTTAAATCTTTTCTTACCTCTGTTGAGACTCTTATCTAGCCAATGTAGTTTTGTTGAAAGATATTACAAAAGATCATAATTGTTGTTTTGATTGCTTTCAGCAGTTTTTATAGAGTGTGTTTGGTTAATGGTATAGTTGTGTGATATCATAACAAGGTCATTTATATTTTTATTTTGTATGTTTATCAACACCAACCGAAATAGAGTGGTGGTTACTCTCTTACAATTTTGGTGGGTAGTGCACTCACAATAATATTATTATTATTATTATTATTATTATTATTATTATTATTATTATTATTATTATTATTATTATTATATAGCATTAAATGAGATAAATTAGTGCTAAATTATATTCGTAACCAATCTAAACAACTAATAAAATCCAAATGTGAGATGAGCTTAAAAGAGAGAAATTAGTGCTAAATTTTCAAAGAGGTTAAAAGAAAGAGAATAATACTAATTTTGCAAACAGGTTAAAAGAGAGAGAATAATGCTAAATTTGCCTGGGGTTTGGATTCAGTAATAAGTGCAGCGTTTTGTGATCTTGGAAGCAAGCTTAAATCCCCTTAGTTTCAGGGGAGAGTATTACGAATGTAATATATTGAGTTAATTAGAAAAGTAATTATGCAAGAGATAGTGTGTTATCTGATAACAAGTATTTATTTATTATAAGATAACAAATACTCCATATCTATATTTTTTATAATACAAGAAATTCATATATTTATAATTTGTAAGGTGCTGCTCGTGCTCGGACTAGTTGTAGTGACACCGGCTCTCCAAGCACTGATCCGGCAGCAAGTGGTGGTCTTAAATACGCACAACTTAATACTGCCATGAAAACGGCTCCGAGTCCGACTCCCGTCACAGCAATTACCCATGTTGGAATAGACTTAGGAGAGTTCCGGTTGGTGTTGTTGGTCTCGTCAAAAACATCCTGGTATGGTGCAGAAGCAAAAGTACCTATTGAAAATAAAGTAAAACACATTTTCACTTGAAGCTATAACGGAATAAGAAAGAAGAAAAAAAAGAAGAAGAAGAATTAGTTACCTGGAGGTGGAGGTGGGAGAGAAGCGAGAGCTACCGAAACAACCAAAAGCATGGCGACTATTGTGGAAAAACGATTTGCTGCCATGGCTGGAAACTGAGAGTACTGAAAAGATTTCATTAACAGACGGCTAAACTGTAAATATAAAAAGCAATGCAAGTGCAACAGTAAATATAACGACAACGACAAGTTGATGATGATTTTTCCATGTCATGCCGTTGATGGATTTAATGCAAAAAACTTTGAATTTTAGGGAGAGATACACAAGATTATAAACTACAATCTAAACAAGAAAAATATTCTTCAATTTTGCAAGTCACTTACCAGACAACAAATTCTTAAAACTTTCTGATGAAGTGGTTTATAAGCTTTAGGGAAGAAAGGAGAAAGAGTGCCTCGAAATCTACTTGTAGTGTATTGATATGGAGATGATTGAGTTGTGTCATCTCATTTATATATTTGCAATCAATCTGAACAACTTATAAAATCCAAATGTGAGAATAGCTTAAAACACAGAAATTATGGCTTAAAAGAGAAAGAGAAAGAGTAATGCGTGTGAACATATCTAGTTAAATAATATATAGAAGAAATTATATCATGTCGGGACTAGATGTTATAAATAATGCTACAATTTTGTGAGAGGACAAACAAAGAAGCGTAGTACGTAAAGTTATTAGCAACGTACATTCATGTATAGAAGACAAGAGCAGATGTGTTGTTTGTGACTTTCTATTTATAGCGTGCCACGGAAAAAGATTTTACATACTCATATTCTATAATACTTGAAGTTATATTAAATACAAAATATTTTGGTTGAATATTAAACCCTTTTCCATCTTAGTATTAATATACAAAACTATTTTATTTTTTATTTCATTTCTCAAAATTCAAATTTTAAAAAGGATTTTATCCTTCCCATATTTTCTTATTACTTTTTAATCGTTCTTTGTTTTGGTAATTAATAGTAATTACAGTTTAAATATATAAAGGATTTCATATCAATTAAATACGAAATATGACATCGTTCATGTTAGATGTATAATTCTTGTTCTGTCGAAATATTTGCGTGGTGTATGTTGAATAGCTTTTGTATAGGTTGTAAGTTGTATTCAACAGAGTCGAATACATCAGATATTGCAGTCTGTCGAAATCATGTTTTGTGCTTTACCATTTTGTCTAATTGGGCCTGGACATTGTTTGCCTATATAAAATGCTGTTGAGTTTGTAAATATACACAGTGAGAAATATATCATATAACAAACTCTCAATTTATTCTCTTCCATAAATCATCTTTCTAGAAACCCTTTGTTCCAACAAATTGGTATTAGAGCCTGGTTGCGATTCAGAGAGACTCTAATGATAAACAGAACAACAACATCAACACAGTTTCCAGCGAATCTACCAGTTTTCAAAGGTGAAAACTATCAGTGGTGGATTGCGCGGATGAAAGTTATTTTCAGATTTCAAGATATTGTTTAAATCTTGAATGATGGAGTATCAGAACTAGAAGCAGATGCGACGGATTCCCAGAAAACTGCACACAAAGATCAGAGGACGAAAGATGGCAAAACACTGTTATTGATTCACCAGTGTGTGGATTTTGATATATTCGAGAAAATTAATGAAGTAGAAACAACAAAAGGAGCTTGGGAAAAGCTAAAAACCTTGTATGGTGGAGATGAGAAATTGAATAAGGTGAAGTTGCAGACACTAAGGAAGCAATATGAGATGCTTTAGATGAAAGAAGATGAATCAATCTCTGTATATTTCTCAAGAGTTATGACGCTAACAAATCAGATGAAGGCATGTGGTGAATCGGTTACAGATCTGTAGAAGATAGAAAAGGTGTTGAGATCTTTAATTGCAGATTTCGACTACATTGTTGTGACAATTGAAGATACCAGAAATCTATCTGAGATGAAATTGGCAGAACATCAAGCTTCATTGGAGGCTCATGAAATGAGGTTGATGCAGAGAAACTTAGAAAGAGAGAAGGTGACTGAACATGCATTGCAATCAAGATTTAGCAAGAAAGCTGGAAAGGTAAAGTCGAAGCAGCGAAAGAATCTTGCCAGTGATGAGAAGTCAAGCAAGAATATTGGTTCGATCAAGAAAGGTGTGGGAACAAGTATTCTGGGAAGAAAGTTGACACAAAAGAGGTGTAATATTACAATTGTCATGGTTTTGGTCACTATGCGAGGGCGAAAGATAGTGATGAAGCTCAATATGCACGAGTTGGAGATAATAATTCAGATGATGTGTTGTTGATGGTGAACACTAAGTCGAACACTGAGAAAAATAACATATGGTATCTGGATTCAAGATGCAGCAACCACGTGATTTGTAATGAAAAATGGGTTACCAAGTTAGATGAGTACGTCGAAAAGGTGATGAAGTTTGCAGATGGAAGGAACATCAAAAGAGGTGGTAAAGGAGATATTTCGATTGTCAGGAAGGATGGTCGAAAAGCTTCTATAACTGAAGTACTATATGTACCTTCTATGACAAGTAACTTGATAAGTGTAGGTCAATTACTTGTAAAAGGCTTCAATATGAAGTTGGAGAAAAATCAGATGAAGGTATACAGGATTGATGACAGGCTAATAATGAAATCACCATTGGCATAGAACAAAATGTTCAAAGTTGAACTCAACGCATCAGATCACAAATGTCTTGCTTCAACTATAGAAGAAGACAAGAACTGACTATGGCATCGCAGGTCTGGACATCTAAACTTCAAAAGTTTATGCATGCTCAATCAGAAAAGTATGGTGTTTGGGTTTCCGTATGTAAAGGAACCAAAATAGATATGTGAGGAATGCTGCAAAGATAAACAGGCAAGGAAGGCGTTCAAACATGACATGCCCGTAAAATCAAAGCAAAAACTGGAGTTGGTTTATTCTGATGTGTATGGACCCTTTGAAGTGAAGTCAAATGGAGGTAACATGTATTTCCTTACTTTCATTGATGAATTCACTAAACATATGTGGATTTACCTTATTGAAAGGAAGAGTGAGGTATTCACACAGTTCAAGAAGTTCAAGTTGTATGCTGAGAATTAAAGTGGCTGAAAATTGAAGAAGTTAAGAACTGATGGTGGTGGTGAATATACTTCTATTGAATTTGCTAGATTTTCCAATGAGGAAGTTATATATCATGAGGTTATTGCACCCTATATGCCTCAACATAATGGCACAACAGAGAGAAAGAATAGAATTATATTGAACATGACGAGAAGAATGTTAAAAGTTAAAGATATGCCTAAGAGATTTTCGGCTGAAGCAGCTACGACAATAATATATATTCTAAATAGATGCCTAACAAAGAAGATGGTCGAAAAGACACCGCATGAGGATTTGACAGGGTCGAAGCCATATGTGAGTCATCTTAGAGTTTTTGGATCAATATGCTTTAGACATATACCTGAACAATTGAAAAAGATACTGGATGATCAAAGTGAAGTCATGGTGCTCATAGGTTATCATTCAACTGGTGCATACAAGTTGTATTCTACAAACAAAGATAAACTAGTGATCAGTCAAGATGTTTTTGTAGATGAAAGCAAAGGGTGAGACTGGTGTCAAAGTTCAATTCGACAAGAATAATACACAGTCACAAATGTGTTCGACGAAGATGAACATAACAAAGCTTAGACAAGTCAAAATGAACAAGGTGATACTTTAACCAGTCAAAATGAAGAACCACCTGTGAAGAATGAAAGAAGGTCGACAAGAACAAGAACTGAGTCGACCAGGCTAACTGGATATGAAAGGTCTCCAGATCAAGCAGTCGATGCAGACGGTGACTTAATCGAAGGATCCATGGTGATGGCTGAAGCAGAACCAATTTACTTGGGCGAAGCCTTGAGCAATTCGAGTTGGTGTGAAGCCATGAAAGAAAAACTTAGAGCTATTGAGAAGAACAAGACCTAGGAGCTTGTCGAAAGAACCAACAAGAAACCAATCGATGTAAAGTGGATTTACGAAGTGAAACAAAGGCCAAGTGGTGAGATTGTGAAGTATAAAGGAAGAGTGGTGGCCAGAGGTTTTCTATAAAAACCTGGTATTGACTTCGACGAAGTATATACGCCTGTTGCAAGGTTAGAAACAATCAAAATTGTTGTTTCGACAGTAACATATAGAGGATGGAAAATGCATCAATAACATGTAAAGTAAGAATTCTTGAATGGTCCATTGGAAGAATAAGTCTACGTTACTCAACCACCAGGATTCGACGTCAAAGGGCAGGAGTCGAAAGTATACATATTAAGGAAGGCTCTGTATGGTTTGAAGCAAGCTCCTAGAGCTTGGAATAAAAGGATAAATAGCTTTCTGATCCATGCAAGTTTCACAAAGTGTGTCTCTAAACATTGGGTGTATGTAAATGATATCAACAATGGAATTCGAATCATTTTATGCCTCTATGTTAATGACTTACTGATTACGGGAGTAGACAAAGTTGAGATAATGAAGGTAAAGTCGAAATTAATGCAGGAATTTGAAATGTCTGACTTAGGTAATCTCTCATATTTCTTAGGGATGGAATTCAAAGACACTAGAGAAGGAGTTTTCTTGCATCAAATGTAGTATGCTCAAGATATTTTGAAGAGGTTTAAAATGAGCAATTGTAATGAAGTTGTCACTCCATTAGAAACTGGATCAAAGTTGAAAAAGGAAATGTATGATGAGTTTGTAAGTTCTACCCTTTACAAATGAATCATTGGATCCTTGAGATATCTTTGCAATACTAGACAAGATATCTGCCAAAGTGTAGGATTGCTGAGTAGATTTATGGAGAAACCACAAGAATGTCATCTCATCGCAGTAAAAAGGGCGTTGAGATACATAAAGGGAACTATTGATCATGGTGTCTTGTTACCAAAGAAGTCGAAGAATAACACAGATGTCGAAGTTCATGGATATACTGAGTTATATTTCAGTGGTGATCAAGACGAAAAGAAAAGTATTGCAGGATACATTTTCATGATTGAAGGTGCTCCAATCTCTTGGAGTTCGAGGAAGCAAAGCATTGTAGCTTTATCATCATGCAAAGAAGAATATGTGGCTGCATCATATGTTGCATCCAAGTAGCATGGATCGAAATTCTACTTCAAGAACTCAAGATAATGGAATCTAAGAAGATGAAGTTGTTTGTCGATAACAAGTCATCTATAAACCTAGAGAATCACCCAGTGTGTCATGTTCGAAGTAAGCTCATAGAAAGAAGGTATCATTTTCTAAGGGATCAACTCAACAAAGGGAAGCTTCAGATAAATCATTACAAGACAGAAGTGCAACTACCCGACATATTTACCAAACCTATGAAGAAAGTTAAGTTTGACGAGTTAAAGAAAAACATCGGGATGAGAAATCTCGAGAACATGAATTAGGGGTTGTGTTAGATGTATAATTCTTGTTCTATCAAAATGATTATGCGGTGTATGTCGAATAACTTTTGTATAGGTTGTAAGCTGTATTCGACAGAGTCGAATACAACAGATATTGCAGTCTGTTGAAATAATGTTTTGGGCTATAGCATTTTGTCTAATTGGGCCTGGGCATTATTTTCCTATATAAAGGGTTGTTGATTTTGTAAATATACACAGTGAGAAATATATTGTATAAAAAACTCTTAATTCTCTCTCTTTTATCTTCTTATTTTTCTTCTCTTTCAGAAATCATCTTTCTTGAAAACCCTTTATTCCAACAGGTCATACATGTGATTGAACTGAAAAATCTAGAATATCTTTTCAATTATAATGCATATTCTA